GAGAGAGAGAGAGAGAGAGAGAGAGAGAGAGAGAGAGAGAGAGAGAGAGAGAGAGAGAGAGAGAGAGAGAGAGAGAGAGAGAGAGAGAAGCGCGTACCACAGGCTGTCGCTGGACTTGACGGTTCTCCTCATGACAACGCGAGACTCCGACTGGCCGACATGGCGGCTCAGCTCGCTCTGCTCCTTGAGAGCAGTCTGGCCGGCGAATGTGCTCGGCGCAACGGCAGCAACGGCGGCGATGGCGGCCATAGTGGTCGACGGCTGGTGGAGTCGAAGTGCGAACTACGTTCTCTCTGAAGGAAAAGGGAGAGGAAGAGAGAGAGAGAGAGAGGCTCAGCCGATCGCCGGTGCCGGTTTCCTGCCAGCCGGATGAACAAACTCGACGTTGAGATGAACGTCAAGGCTGGCTTACCTTTGATATACTGCTTCGCTCCAACATTCCCTTTGATATACTGCTTCGCTCCAACATTCCTGCCCCATAACAAATATCGAAGGCCACAAACGAAGAATCCAGCCAAGTGAGGGCCCTTTCCCCCGAGCTACTGTGCCGCGAATCCGGCCTGTGGCCGTTCTTCTTTCGCTCTCGTTCCTGGAATAGTGTGCATGCGGACAAAGGTCCCATGCACGTGGGTGTTCTCTTCCTGTGGCCATCCATCCTTTGTGATCTACGGTGTGGAAAGGAGAATCCAGACAAGTGGGGCCATGGTCGTAACTAAAAAGAACCATTACTCACAATGGTCCCACATGACTGTTCCAGGCCCAGATGACTGTTCCAGGTTCCACAAAGGGGAAAAAAAAACAAACAGAAAAGGACTGTTCCATGTGCGACAGTTGTTGTAGGGCTAGTGGGCAAGGCCATGCAAAGCCTCCCTTCAGGACACTGTGGGCTTACTAACACTAGAAAGTTTTTTACTGATTTCGGGACAGAATTGCTGCCACATGCATACGTGTTTGGACGTAAATGAGTCAGATGTATTTAAGATAGTGCTGGTGTGAGCACGCCCTGTAATGGCCAGAATCTCCGTTTTTCTTTCTTTCTTATACTTTTTTTTTCATTGTTTTGCATTTTCTTTTCTTCTCTCACTGCCTTGTGAAATTGTGACGTCATCTTTTTGAAATTTTGAGTATTCATGTTGCCCCCTTCTATATAGCCTTAGGAGTAGTGGTAGGTAGCCTTAGGTACTGAAAGGCAAAAATATGATAACTGAAAAAGAAATTACGTTCGTTATTAATAAAAAAGAAAGGCAAAAGGAATTTGAGAGAGAGAATTTGAGAGAAGAAAGTAGAGAAGAATATAGTGTAGTTCTTTTTTTTTTTTTTTTTTTTTTTTTTTTTCATTTCCTCAGTCACCGCAAATATCCTGCAGT